TCATTATCATAATGTAGCTTATGCCATTATTAGGTATTTTTTAGCGTAATCTAACCATGATACAATCACAACAGATACTATCTATGATATAATCTTAGCACGATAGGCGATGCGCAATATTACACGAGTATAAGTAGGAAATTGGTCGAAATCAGTATGGTTATTCAAGTTTGTCAATGGTTTGGATTAGCGCGCGAGGAGATGTCAATTCAACGAAATATACAGTACTATGATTTGAATATGACTTCTTGATGGTTTTAACCAATTGCTCCTGCACAAAATAGTTCGCAATCACGAAGATGATACTTGATTTAAAATAACATTCGTCGAGGACGTAGCCATGCGCGCGTCTTCTGTCATACGTCAAACATACATAAACTGTCAGCCGTGACAAGATGGCCACCTCTCTAGAGAGATCGGTGCTCGTTCAGAAACGAAATATCGGTACCGCAAAATAACTGAACGCAAAACATCATATACTTTTTTTGTAGTCTAATAATATTCTTATTTATTTAAGATAGTTTGAAGAAGTTCGGATTATTAGCATATATCTATCTATCTATATATAAAACTCAAAGGTGACTGACTGACATAGTGATCTATCAACGCACAGCCCAAACCACTGGACGGATCGGGCTGAAATTTGGCATGCAGGTAGATGTTATGACGTAAGCATCCGCTAAGAAAGGATTTTGATAAATTCTACCCCCAAGGGGATAAAACAGGGAATGACAGTTTGTATGAAACTTTGTCAATTTTAAACCGATCGGGCTGAGACTTTGCATGCAGGTATAAGAAGAATCATAGATGAATGTCATTGTGTATAATACAAGCATGAACAAAAACTAGTCTACACTTCAGCTCTACACCGAAGCGAAGCGAGAGCGGGCCGCTAGTACAAAATAAAACTGTATCTTTACATTGATGTGGTGTGTTACTCTACTGATCTATTATCGTACTATAAACATTTATATTATTCATTAAAACGATAGCACGTACCGTTGTTGTCAACTGTTCGACAGATAACATGTTTTATTTCATCATAAGACAGCGATAATGCAGCCTAAGCGAAACGATAATGGCATCCTTCTGACCTTATAGTAAAGAATAAATATTTAGTAGTTTATTATTCTTGTCAACAACAAATCTACGCGGCCTTCAGTTGGAATAAAAAGCATAAGTAGCAACAATTAAAACATTGTTTTGAAGTCAGACACCGTTGATAGTTTCGTGTTTAAATTCGGATGACTTTATTGTTCTTGCTCGCGCTCAGAGATATTTAAGCTCGCCGACTTCATTATTTCCTTTTGTTCTCCACCTTTTATTTGCAGACAATACTTTGGGGTATACAATACAGGATTCGTATTTCGTTTCTGTATTTGACCGAATATGTTTTAGACATTATATATAAAATTTTACCTTCCAGTATGATTGGGTAAAATGTAGGTCATCGTTATACTTATTTTAAAGCTTGGCTTAATATCTACAAAGTTATAGTTTATGTTCTGTATTTGACCGAATATGTTTTAGACATATCGAAATTTCACCTTCCAGTATGATTGGGTAAAATATAGGTCATCGTTATAAATACTTTTAAGCTATATCTACAAAGTTATAGTTTAGGAACGCTTTTACTTTCAAAAACAAAAACTAGAACGTAGACAAAACGAACAACTTGAACAATGATTAATGAGCTTCCGAGAATACTCCAGTAGATTTACGAAGGAATAGGAAACAATAAAGGCTAGACATTTATGCATAGAAACCCAACTCTTGCTAAAGCTATATCACTTCGGATATCACGCAGTAGAAGATTGATATTTATCTTATCACGAAAATAAATATCACCATCATGCAATTCGTTAAACAATGTCTTGGTAACACAATCTTAAGCAATCAATCTGAAGCTCTCACTAGATTAATCATAATAATCATTATCAAAATCATTTATTCAGTTTAGGCTGTTGCAAGCATTCATCAATGTTTAGAAGCTACGCCATCGGTTAGTAAATCTTCGATTAATACTTATCCACCTGTTCACCGAGTCAAATTATAGTTAAGTTTAATAGTTAAGCCTTAAATTTTGAAAAACACTTTACAAAAGTGGCACTGGGGTCTTCAAATCCATTACCATCAACCTACTGATATGAGCCGCTTTAAATGGTAACTTTACGCGAAATTACACGGGGTGGGGAAACTGGCGGCCATAAAACGAACAGACTCAACGGAAAACTTTCACAAATGAGAGAAGTACCACGATTTCGACAGGAAAGTGTAATAATACTGAAGAAATTGTTCATCTTATGTGAAAAAGAAACAGATTCGAAACGGATTCGGAAACGTTGAAGTAAAATTGATAACAGGCTGACGTAAATATAGTTGAAATTCTGGAGGACAGTAAAATGAGCAATGCCGTAAATGAAATCTTTATTGTAGTAAGGATAACAGAAACAGAAAGATATATAACAGATGGAAAACAGCTCTTACAACCTAACTACCACAAAATGACAACATAAGAATATTTTCATCCCAGCCACTAAGGTTGTTGTCATAATCATGTAACAGTGATTTGCCATGAATAACAAGACGTATATGATAAAATTTAAAATTCCTTCAATTTTCTATAGTCTCAAAAGGTATTGTATGTTAGTAAAGCAGAAAGGAAACGATTTATTTGAAACTAGATTAAATCAAATAAAGAGCATCATGGTGACGAGGAGTATTAATAAAACAGTAATCTAGATCTTGTGCAAACTGCTAAAAGAAAATAAAAACGGAATTTTTATTCCTTTCGTTTTTTCGTTTAAATTACAAGTTCTGAGGCTGTTAAGAAAAACTCATTTTTTCTACGCAAATAAACAAGGATAATCATTTTTTCTCGAGGAAATACATGACTGGTTAACGTGGTAAATAATAAACCTTAAATATTATTTATTTAGTTACCTTATATTTCCAAGTACAATCATTGCAATCAAGATAGGGATTATAACAACGGGGTTTCACAAATTAAAGACAATCCATATTTATGTTTCAGGAACTTCATTAAAGTTAAGACTCCCGAAATTAATGGGCGTTAATTAAAACTTCGTTAAAACAATGAACAGAAAAACTTTTTCTATCTCCCTTAACCGAAGTTGGTAACGACGAAATAAATAATTTAATGCCTAAAGTTAAAGACTTTGTGTGAACGTTTTGCTCCACATTTCTTATAAACCTAAATAACGTATCAATTGAATGTAATTTTTAATGAGATGAGTGTACATTAAATGCATGAATTATTTGCATTGGTTACGTACCATCGATGGTATAAATTCAAAATGTTCCACAAAGTAAGAAAACTTTGTGGAAAATGTTGAAAAAAGAAAAAAGGATGGATATAATCGGTAAAGCCATCTTCATTTTATAGCGTGACCAAGAAGAGGAAAAAGAAATTAATGTTTTATATAAAGATTGCCAGATATAGGTAGATATTAAAAGGGAAAATTTATACAATCTCTATGTAAATATGACTAAAGTATTGACCAGTAAAATGACAATACAACTGATGTATTACAACAAGGTAGTCTAGCCACCGACTTGTCTGCGCGTGCCAACAAATTCGTTTAACGAAGCAGAAGACGCCAAAGTGTCGCCCCTGACATGTAATCTGGATCATCCCACTATCAAGGTTCGAAAACAAGAACCAAGTTTTAGCGGTCAAGGAGATTTAGATAATTTAGGCGGGATAAAACATGTATCTGAAATTGCATTCTAATACATAAAATTGACAGTGTTAAAAATAAAGTGCCAATTTGTTAGCATCGGTATTTAGAATGAATATTGGCAGGGGTTTTTACTATTTTTACAAAAAAAAATCTTAATTTTACTAAAAACTAACGAAAAAGATAACAGTTTTCTTATCTATTGTCATGTGACCCAAAACGCTTGGGATTGGCGGAGCCTAAAATGACGTCACACGCAAGTAAACTTCCGGTTAAAGTGACATAACATTGTATCGTTTGACGTTTTAATAACAGTTGTGTGACGTCACACACTAGTAAGACGCCATATTGTCCATAGAAACGTTTCCGCGGCAACTTGAAAATGGAGTTTTTGATTTGGTTATTTTTACTGAAATACACAACAGAATGATGAATATCTTTTTACGGACTCCATAAACATTAGTGAATAACGTTAGTCAATACCCTATTCGTATAGAATTAATATTAGAGCATGGTAGTTGTTTTAGCTAACAACAGGTAACATAAGTTAATGAACACTGTAAGAATTTCCTTGCCCATTTCTTGTTTGGTCCAGATCAGGTATAATGTAAATGAGCACGTAAACAGATTATTATGTTCCTTAGTTACAAATCAAGTATGCGAGTCTCAGACGAGAAACTACGGTTATTACAATAGCAGATTCTAATATCGAGAATTAATTTGGATAGTTCGAAATAGAATTTAGTGATACGGAAATGGTAGTATTCAGGAACAATAATACCTACTTACATAGAGTTATTATTGTTGTTGTTTGGATTGTTGTTAAAATCAAAGATACCCGTAATAATTCAGCGTAATTGAACTGCAAGTTAACAATGCTAAACAAGACTTGTTAAGCTAGGTAATACTCGTCAGAGTAACCATATTCAATTAACTAAGGTACAGAATTGACAGGTATTCATTCTCATATGCAATGAAAGTGCTTTTAATTAACTTAAAGGTAACCTATAAAGATAAGAACCGTTTAACGGGTATTGTGATAGCTTCTATGTATGTATGGAGACAGATATATTAAGGCAGATCTGCATCTTTTACAAATAATAAAAATAATAATAACAAACAATAAATTGATAAACAAATAAGTATTTCAAAAAGGTACTCACCCATGTCTCCTGTTAAAGTATTAGATAGATTTAAAAAAATTACATCAGTTAAGAAATTTCTAAAAAACCTGAAAGAGAATGATTTTATGCACGCTGACGACATAATCATCGTTTATCTTTATAACATAAGACTTACCTGATGACATAATTGACGCAGACTACGCTGACTGGCTTCTGTTGCTTGTCGTTGATGACCGTGGCCTGGGTTTGGACCCAGGCGTAGCCGCCCGACTTGGCCAGGAAGCGGTATTGACCAGTCTCGCATTGGCCTTTGGAGAAAACTGAAACAAAGTAAGCGTGATGAATATACTGTTCAGCTTTATGTATAACATAAATTAATACACATATTCCTACAAAATCATGAGAACTGTTTGGTCTGCAGGATAATTGAGTCACAATATGACATTTTTATTTAAAAATGCTATTTTGAATTAAATATCTAAAAAACTTTTGCAAACAGCCATAATAAAGAAAATTATGTTATACAAAATAATTATATTATGTAAAATGAGTTAAGTAAAACAATTGGTATTGAGAAAGAAGATATATTCGATCTTGCAACCTAAAATGATAGATAACTATGAGTTTTTCATTAAAATTATTGATGGGTATTGAAGTATCCTTTCTATAAACCTAAGATCAATATTTCACTGAAGAGTCCTTGATTTGCAATTCCGAAAAGAAACTCTTGCAGTAAAAACCTTTATAGCAAAACATTTACTAGTGTTAAACGAGGAAATCTTACGACTAACTCAGTGGGAACTCGGAACTACAGTACCTACCGTCCGCGAATTCAAATCCAATTATGCTGACTTTAATAATTACGGTAAGCCGTATTGCTGAATAAATAAAAAAAAAAATTAGGCGTGACGCGTCAGGACGAAACAAATTACAGGAGTATTCACCGTCAAGCGAGTCCGTAGCTCAAATAGGCGGGGAAATGAAGAATGGAATTCTTTATCTCGAGTCGGCAGCGTCATAAGTCGAATTGTAGGCCAACCCGACATTTGTTAGACAAGATTTCTGCAATCCCCTTTTTTGCGGTCACTCCTGAATCCTGATATGGGTTTTGGATATTTATATCCAGAAATAATGAGATTGAATAACGGTCGGATTAGACTGTGTCACGTGTCAGTACAGAGAAAACTCTGAATATTGAGACGCATCAATCTCATATTGAGATCTGGGGCAAGGTTGTCCATTTCCTTCTCATGCCACGATTTCCCGTTAGCTGACAAATGTTTCGGTTTTCGCATAAAAAGGGTGGAGCGATTATATAGGTAGTCGAAACATGGTATTTCTACATAGTATTTGTTACAAAAGAAGCTGAAGGTGACTTTTTTCCAATGCCAATAGCTTCTGAAAACGAAACGATAGTCATATATGAACAACCGTGGTATTTAAGCCGACATAACGACTGATAAAGATTAATGGCCCCAACATAAGGCGCGTGGATCTTAATAAGAGAACTTATCCCTTGGGATCAGTTAATTCTGTACTCAAGCCGGCAGCTGTTTTCTTACTAGATATATTGTTACGTAGAACCTATTAAAAAGGCTCAACATTATTATAAGATAAGTATCCTGATATATATAGGTGAAATTCACACTTTTTTGTGATAATACATATTTAAAGTGATTAGGAATATTTTAGAAAATGCACACAAGCACTTCTAAAGATAATGATGACGCAAAACGAAAATTCAATTGTCTAGGAGAACATTTGTTTCAAGAAGAAAGATTCAACATAACGTAGCAAAAAAAGTCCACTGTCTGTCTTCAAATTGAATTTAGGGACAACACTTTTATCGGAAGATAAAAATCAACCAAGAAAGAAGGGTCCTACGCTAGTATCAGCACTTAAAATTGATACTTTTATTGTGATGATATGATGCCATATTTTTTTATTATTCTTTAACAAGGACTCCTTTATTTCTGCGGTCACAGAGACGTCAATTATACTTAATAGTTTACAAAATACGTTCTCTTATTCTATTATAGTAATCGAATTATAATTTTCGAAACGTTAGACACTAATATTATAATAACAAGCAAAAACCGGCAAAAACATTACATTTGTTGTATGGGAGCCATTCTTAAATATTTATTTTATTTTACTTATTGATTTTTAAAGTGAATAAACAACTAAATAAATATATTCACCTATTGCAGCTCAACGGTAAGAGGAAAGTTCATTTTCACATGTAAGGGAAAAAAGATAAAACTTCGTCTCCTTTTCATGAAAATTAATTTAATGGAACTTTTAACTGAATATAAAAAAATTGTGTGTGTCAGCTCCGACGCACGACTGGAGTTTACTCCTTAAGTTCGATAGTCTAACCAGACGCAAAAAGAGTTTATTTAACTTAAAAAAGATTGATACTGTATGAAAGGGTAAATTAACAAATTAATGAAAATAATATACATATATAAATATATATTTATTCATTTCATATACATTTATTATAACTAATCGACGAAATATTTTACATTAAACTTTTTACAATAGTCGATTTCAGATGTGCATAAATATATCATTAGGAATGTTGATAAATTATGTAATTATTATTATCAGACTATTATCATTTTTTTAAATATTAATTAAATCAACAATGATGTCAATTCTGGCATGATTCTCTAAAGCTAAACTTAAATTTGACAACAGTGCATCCTTGTCGTTCTCTATACAGAAGGAAAAGGAGAGCCTGATGTTAAATTTAGTTTTAAGTTTAGAGAATCACGCCAGAATCGATACCATTGTCTGCATTATTAATTACAGTGACAAGTGGTTTATGGTAACTAAAATAAGACACATGGACGTTCGTAGATACGTGGTTCACGAATCTTGAAAATACCGCATCAATGGTTGTACCATACCTCGTTGTCCCCATTGCTCTATCAGAAACAATATCTAAATTCAGTTCAGATTTAATTTTTTTTATTAATGTCAATCTGTCATCTTTGTTTGTCAAAGTTGCGCGACATAGGATGCGCACCAAAAACGTAACGAGGTCATTCATCGATAGATTTTACTCCTCACATTTGTCTCATACCGGGCCCCTTATATATGCAAATCGATCCTTAAGGCGTAAACTCCAAAAATAATAATAAATAAATAATTATTAAAAAATATATAAAATATTTGTTTCTTAGGTTTTCACGCACATCACTCATTAAATAAAACTAGTTTTTACGGGTTAATGCACGAAACTTTATTTATTTATTGACGTTTCGCAGCCTTTTCAGGTCTGCATCGTCAGAATAATGATTTTATTTAAAATTGTCGAGCTACCTTCGAAAGAATTATATTGTGCGTTCAGTTATTTCATTGGAAGATTTTTAAAATTTTATTGTCTATGCATGAATTTATTATTTAATTTACTTTAAGTAAATTAAATAATAAATTCAAATAATAAATTATAAAATAATTTAATATATAAAATAATAATAAAATAATTAATAATTATTAATTGTATTATTAATTTTAATTGGCTTTGGGTAAGCATTCTACATAAAATACCAAAATATCAGTTCTGTAACTTCGTTTACGATCTAGAGACCCGTGACATACGAACAGACAACAGAATGACAGCAATAGGGTTCCGTTTTTACCCTTTTGGTTCAGAACCCTAAAAATACCAAGATTAACCAACTTCCTTTATGTGAATAAAATAAATTTACAGCTGTTTTATTTTGTCTAAATAAATCTTATTAATTGCCATCAAAAGACAAAGAAATAAAACCATTTTAATATAAAGACAACGCTTTCCAAAATCTTTAGCACACTAATGACATTTTCAATTTATGTTTAATCACATCCTCAGCTTGCCTTGTGTCTCGTCTCATATCAAGTAACAATATAGCGTGTGTTCAAGGTGTTTGTATTTAATTTGAACTATGTATTCATGAATAAATCGATAAGCATTATAAATTAATTTCCATTGACTCATTTCACTGAGATTGTGCTCAAATTGATATTTTTATTTAACTGAGGTAATAAATAGAGAGCATCATTAAAATTGGGTTAAGTTGGTAAGATATTAATTGGACAATGTAATGCTGACTCGGCAAATATTTCAATAACAATTACTTGAAGGATGTCCTCGACATTATTTTGCTATTGTATTTCATAAAGGTTTTCGGTATTTTTATACGAGGAAACGTTGGAAATAAGGTGCTTTTCTTAGACGGACATGTCGTGTGAAATTCCCGTAAAGCCAGCCTAAAAGCTAAACGAATAGGAGTCACGCAACGCAAAGCTGATAAGAAAATCAGACTTATCTATCTATGATTATAGCCTATTTCTAGGATTCGTCAAAGGAAATTGTGTACAGGGTTTAGGCTAAGCTTATCGAGCTTGCTTGCCATGCTATCGAATTCCTTTAAAGGCAAAATTCCAAGCAACAAAAGAAATGAACTTTTTTATTCACTCAATTAAGAGCGAACATGTGACTCTTTGTAAACGTAATATGAGCAAGTCAGCGGCTGGTTTTATGTAAGAGATTCAATTAATTTGAAATATTTGGTGCGTCGCCAACAGAGACGTTGGTAACAGAGATGAAAACAAAAATATATAATAAATATAAAACGATGGAGGAAATGTATGGATCTTTGCACGTGACGTTTATTATTAGACAGAAATCGAATGACTGTAAACATGTTTTATTAAATATATCGATCAAATCAAAATATTTCCTTATTATTGTTTTGTTTTTTGATAGGATGATAATAAACATTGTACACATATGTCTTCGACATAATACCGTGGCTGGATAACGTTAAACTTCGATAACTAAGACGTGTCTAAAATTAAACATATCTAAGAAAAAAAAAATACAAACGGTTTATTCAATAATATCGAATACAGCTTTAATCTTCAGTCGTTTTGTATAAGGCTAACGACTACCACGTGATACATAAAAAAGTCTGTTACACGATGACCATGTTTGAATTTACCTGTCAATTTTAAAATATGATTGATTGATCGGGAGCTCGAAACAATTTACCCAACGTTGTTTACGTGCCAACATCTATAAAAAGTATTCCATTATGTCAATAGAGAAATGACCAACTACACATCCGACAATTTGTATCGTCATCAAATGTATGTTATAATTAAAGTTGATAATTTCGCGTAGAGATAAAAATCCTTTAACAGAAGAGCGCAATGATTAAATTACTTGCCTTGCGGCAATTAAAAAGAAAGGGATACTTAAAGCTCCAGTTATTCCCGCGGAGAGAGAACTTTAAGCAGCAGTACAGAATGTAATATAACCTCAGCT